TATCATTTGGATGCCATTTGGTAGGTCAACATTGTGCCATAAAAACATAAAACGTCCCTAGAATTCATAGTGTACGCATGGCATCTCTCAAGTAACAATCAATTACTCCCAATTGAGGTTAGACATTAATATGAATCTTTTTGATATTGAATTAGACTCACATGAATACCAATTCACATATTTTCATGATTAACAATAGCAATTTCAGTGCTTATCTTGTCTTACAAAGAAGGCTTAATTTCTGGAAAACAAGGCACCACAAGATACACATGCAACCATTGTTCCCCCAAAATTCATACAAGTTCATGCTTAGCTTTTATACTCCCACAACTAAAAACATGCAAGGTCTTTGATCCGCTTACCTTGTGTGTGCAATGGTGTTCTCACAACCCTTCACACAGTCACTTTACCCTCACTCCACGTCTTCCCACAGGGCTCAAAGGGGCTGGAGTTTGGTGTTCCAATAGAGAAAGATGGTTTCAAAAACCTAAGCAAAAGGGGAGAGAAGGGGCTTTTGTACTCTCACACTTGAGAGGTGGCATTCTGGGCTTGCAAAGTGGAAACCTTAGTATCATGCAGCTTGACAAGTGGCAGGTTGGAATCATGCAGCAGGCTGACAACTATGGGTCATGCACAGGCTCGACGATGCTACGTATTTCCTCTTCTTCTTCTCTCCTCACCGCCGGGCGCACTTTCTCTTCTTCTTCTCTCCTCGCCGCCGAGCGCACTTTCCCTTCTTCTTCTCTCATCCCCGCCGTACACACTCTCTTACCGTTGTGCGCATTTTCTCTTATTCTTCTCTCTTCACCGCCGAGCTCACTCTCTCACCGCCGTACGTACTTTCTTTTTTTCTTCTCTCTCCACTGTCGTACGCACTCTCTCACCGTTGTGCACACTTTCTCTTCTTCTTCTCTCTTCACCACCGTGCGTACTTTCTCTTGTCGGGAAAGTCTGGGTCGTTACATCTTGCATGGCACCTGGTCCTTGCTTTTGTAAGTGCTGAGCAATCTTCCTCAGATTAATCAGATCTTCAGCACCGCACATATGCCCACAATTAATTTTCATAGAAAACGGTTCCGATATGCCGCTAATATGGATTGCATCAAAGGTCTGGGTATGTAGCTGATTGATTATTCACCCTTTTTATTTTCATCTTTAATTATAAAATTTAAAGATTAAAAAAAAGTGTAGATCGTGTGTAGTCTCAGTGTCCATTAATTGATATGACTATACAAATTGTCTTTTATAGACAAATTACAGATGACACTAAAAGAAACTTAATCATAAATATATAAACTATACCCAGATTTACCATAAATACAAGGTATTGTATTTTCCCTTCTCAAATATACATACCACAATATACACCTTCTATATTAACCTGATAGATAATATATACTTTCCTTTCACAGATCGAGCAGATCTATGAACACTTGAAAATCTTGAAAATTGACGGTCTAGATAACATGACATAGAAACAATCTCTTACACTAAATTTTTGAGGTGCCCAAAAGAAATCCCTTTGTTGCCCATGGTTCTCTCTACCCTATATAATAAATGACATCTATTTGCTTAACATTCCTTAAAATTTCAGATCTGATAACATTTCATTGTTCCCTTATTAAAATATTGTTCTAAGTTTTATAAATATTCCATTGCATCCCTAGTTCGTTGTGGTGTGGGATCGCATTTGTAGATGAATATTCAAAATATTCAAAAAGCAACTTGTTGTTGATTATGGACCGGTGGTTACAAAGCATGAAAAAAAGGGGAAAAAAATGGTTACATATTGCAAGTTGCATATTTCAAAAGCCAAAAGTTTTGGTCCTTTGGTTTTGGTTCCTCTATTGGTACCAAAACGCACTTCCAAAGGTTTCTTGGAAAGGATCATGGCATAAAATAGTCAACTATTTGTGGCTGTGATCAATCTAGAATTGAATTTATATATATA